ACTATCCGTATGTTGCTGTTTGCTGACGACTGTGCGTTGTTTTCACACAGCGCGGATGAGTTGCAGCACATGACTAGTGCTCTGGCTTCGACAGCGGCCAAATTCGGGCTCACCATCAACACAAGCAAAACTGTCTGTCTCTTTCAGCCTTCACCGGAGGTGCAATCTTCAATATTGTTACAAATCAGCATTGGTGCTGAAATATTGGAAACTACCTCCCGCTTCTGCTACCTTTGGAGTGTGATGTCCACTGATCAGCAGCTACACGTTGAGTTGCGTAATCGCGTGTCGAAGGCGGCAGCGGCATTCGGGAAGCTTGAGTACCGAGTGTGGAACAACCATCAGCTTAGCATAGGCACGAAGCTGATGGTGTACAAATCCATGGTACTGTCCGTTCTTCTATACGGCAGTGCAACGTGGACGATGTACCGTGGGGATGTGCGATATCTCGAGCGGTTCCATCAGCGGTGTCTGCGACGAATTTTGCGGATCGGCTGGGGCGCCAGAGTTGCAGACACGGAAGTGTTGCGCCGAAGTGGCATGTATGCAGTGGACTGCATACTTTTATTGAGAAACTTGAGATGGCTCGGTCATGTGAGCCGTATGGATTCGACGCGGATACCGAACCAACTTTTATACGGTCAGCTGAGTATTGGGAAGCGGCACGTGGGGAAACCAAAGTTACGTTACCAGGACATGATAAAAGTGAGCCTCACACGTTCTAATCTTGATTGCAGATCATGGGAATCGAAGGCGGTTGATCGGCGTGCATGGCGCTATCTAATCACGAAGGCAGTTGCTGAAGTGCGGGAGAAAGCCCTCATGCATGCAGAGAAGAAGCGGCAGTTGCGGAAGCGGCAAGCACCGAGGAATTTTACTCCATCGACATCGAGCGCATTGTGCTGTAGAACATGCGGTCGCGAGTGCCTTAGTCAGGCAGGCCTAGTGAGCCATGAGAGAGGTCACTCGGGACCACTGCCGAAGCGACGACGGGTCCCACAGTGAACGTAGGCAGCACCGGCGCAGCGTTTGTAGGCACGCTGAATTCGATTTACTAACCGCATTCTTGCATGCTAAGTCTCTTTATTTCAGGTGGTGGGTTTTCGGTTCTCTCCTAATGCCTTTCTTTCTCATACAAATGTCTAGTGGGCCATGAGCTGTGCCATTTGGGGCCAATACAGAAGCGACGACGGGTCCTGCAGAGAATTACGGCGAGCCGGCACAGCGTTTGTAGGCACGCTGAATTCGATTTACTTACCGCGTGCTTGCATGCTAAGTCTCTTTATTTCAGGTGGTGGGTTTACAGTTTTTACCTTAATACTTTTCTTTCTCAAATAAATATCTCCCTGTACTCTATTCCATTAACTTGCACACATCGCTTCAGCCAATTGTATTCGATTTCCATAACATTTTTGTGTTCGTGGCATTCCATGAAATATACTTTCTGACCTCGTGCACTCAGCTATTATCTGTTTGTAAACAACTGATTACATATGCTATTTACTTAAGGTTTATAGCACCGTTTCCTTATGCATTAAACGAGTTTTTCTCTTTTTCTTTCTCTCTCTTTCTCAAGTGTTTGGCTGTTGTTTGATATCCCCGGTGTGGCTGCGCTTGATGTGCATGTTGACAAGGTGCCTACCTGTCTATTACCCACTACCTCGTCCATACTGGCTCCAGGAGACAGTTGGTCGTTGCTGGAGGGGATGGGGTGCACGGTCCTTGTGGCCGTGGTAGGCTCAAAGAGTGGTTCCATGCAGTCAGTGTGGAGCGGACTACGGTCCAGCCACCGCCTTGTGTGTGCTTGATTCCCAAACACAGTGTGCTTGTGTTTGCCTGTGAATGAGTGTGGGCCGGCTCCGTTGATGAAACGTGGTTCCCATCCGCATGCCTCCCGGTCTTATTCCTTCGGGTTTACACTGGATATGGGGTATGTGGTTGGAGCTGTGGGTGGTGCAGCGCAAGCCATCCATGGTCCCTCTGTAGGCGCAGGCGTCCTGTGGCTTGCCCCAGTGACAGGCAAATCCGAAACCGGAGACCGCCAACCATGCATTAGCATCGTTACACGCACATACTTATAAAGACAAGCGCAGAATCGAGAAAAACTCAATGCAATCGCCATCAATAAGTTCTTCTTACGGTGAACCAATTAACAGTCATACGCTTCCATCTGGTTGCACGCATTACATTTTCATTTATAAATAGAACCAACGCACCGCTTTGGTATTGCAATTTTAGTTTTACAAAAATTGCGAACCTTTTCAGTAAGCCAAATATATATAACATAAATGGTTTCTGGGTATCTGGAAGTGATGATAGATCACATTCCGCCTTCATCTTGTACTATTTCACCATAGTTTCCGAGATGCCCGGATCAGTTGTACCTCGAGGCTTCACCACGGTTTTGAAATCGCGCGTATCGTTAAGCGGTCTCTCCCCTTAATTGCCAGGTTTGGAGCGGGTCATAAGTGGCGCGAGCAGACAGTATTGTTGCTATAGTTACAGGGTGGCTAAAGCGTGGTAAAAGAGAGGAAAGTAATAAGAGGATTTGGAAGCTGGACAGTGATTTGAGAAGCGTATAGCAAGTCGAAATGCAGAGCCAGTAGTACTAGAGATAAGACATGGTTATTCAACTAGTACTCTAAGAAAACGTGGGGACCGTACTGTTAGGTGCTAAACGAAGAGCCGGCAGAGCTTACCAGTCAATGAGAGCCAAAGGATACCAGAGAGAGATCAGAGAGACGGGTAGGAAATCAGACAAATTCGCTAGGTGCTGCTAGGTTTGTTCCGTAATGCCATCTATGGAGTCGTCAATATAGCTCAGTTTAAATGCCGTCTAACGCTCTGTTGCCTACGGTAGGTAAATCTATACGATTAGCATGGATAACGTGCGGTCTCTCCGCTATATTCTATAGATGCGAGAAAAAGATGACCAGTTTGCATTGATGAAGTAAGTGGTAGTGTTTTAAGAAATGTATAAATCCCCTAACAAACATTTTGTTTCAACTGTCGTTTTGATATAGTCACATGATTCGATTTCCTAAGGCGGTAGCAACGCACTTCCTCTTGTTAATGCAAGTTATTTCTGGAGATGATCGCCAGGTGAACAGTCCACAAGTTGGTGATAGCTAAGAAATCGCCAATGAAACGCTTAGCCACCGCAAGCATCATAAGTCTCCTTGGCTGGGTGCCCAAAGCTGAAAAATCTTGATAGTTAAAATGTTTGAGGAATCGACCCGGGATGGGAATCAGTGAAACTCCTGCGCATATGAGCGTGAGAGTTGATTATACTATCCAGGCCTTCGGCGTGCTTTTATACTCGCGCGCACCAGCCGGGTAGGGGAGCATAGGCTGCAAATGAGTACCTTAATCAACAGGTTTATTAATACAAAACAGTGAAAACATACAAATAATCGATTAGGAAATAAAAAATTCTTCTTCATTGCAAACTGGGAGCGTATGTATAAGCATGATGGTTACTGTCGCCCTCCACATCCCTAAGGATACTTATAAGTACACACATAAATAACAATAGCGGAGTTGGGAAAAAGTCAAAAAATTTCGGTTTAGTTATTGGATGCCTTCTATTCTCGACCAAATTTCCAGTACATTTGATAATACCAAAACATCGCACGATTTTCTTCCAGATAATTTCCCTGCATGCTGGCAAGTGCTACCTATGAAACCTGCGCAAAGCTATGGCATCATGGAGCGTTAATACGGTTAAAAGTTTAAATTCGCCAACATGCCTTACCAACACCCTAAAAAACGTGTGTTAAACTGCATACATCGCTCGCTGCAGTTAGAAGGGAGAAAAAGAGTAGGTGCCCTATGTGCCGAAGCTTAAGGTTGCACTGAAGCTACCGTTTACGGGAGTTGCTGTAAGCTAAATATTCCAACAGCATGTTAACTCCGCGTTTGCACTAGCGTGTCCCGCGGTGCAACCAGTATTCGTATACACAACGACGAACATTCCCACACCTGTTAGGCCGCAGCAAACTCCATCCGTCAAGTAAAACAACGCTTACAAGCTACATACAATCGCAATGCCATTTACTTAGGCCTGCTACGGCACTAATTGCGTTTGATAATCCCTTGACATATCCCACCATGGGTCAGGAAACAGGTTACAAATTAGCCCCGTTCAACATTCCAAGGGCGCAGACAAGACGCAACTGGTCAAGCGTACAAGACGACTGCAGTATTAAGCGCCCGCCAGCTGCTGACAGCCAAACGCTGTGTTTACTTCACTGGTATGTTCAGTGTGGTCTACGCTTCGAACTACACCCGTGCGCGTCGATACGCTAAGGTGCTTGCGATCAAACAGTATGACTGTATTTCTTTGTGCAGAAGGACTTGTTCGACTATATATGCGATACCCTTGCACGAAGCAAGTAGATATATGATGAGTTGACAATTGTGCTTCTGTTGGTGCAGTTGCTAGCAAAACTGCATTAACTCTTCGTTATGCTATGAATTCTCACGTATTCTGTAGTACGCACTTGAAAATAGGCAGAGAAGTTTGTCTAAAATTACACCGTGCGGTGCTTCAGGGATAACATTTTAACGAAAGGTATCTTTTAATTGTCCACTATAAGACCTATCACCATGGAATCTAAAGCGTTACTTAAAATAATAAATTACGGCACTGGGATGGGTGGGTTCACATGTGAAGAAATTCGAAATAGGTACAATGTTTCTGGTCTACGAATGATTTTCATAACGATACTATACAATACTCAGTATTACTGGTAAATATTGATGCAGTATGTTGTGACCATGCGCTTACTAAAATGCCCATTACGTGCTATGAGTTCATCTGGCATTAGATGTAATGACCCACACTAGTGAGGAACCAATACATTGATTACCCAAGTGTAACCCTAGTACTACTGTCATTAATTATCCATAATTTTCTGTATATTCTCAATGCACTTTGCAATCTTGATTTGCAATATGAGAATAAAGTAAATCTAACCTTAACCCATGTGCAGATCCTACCTATCGTATGCTCTTGCCCGTATAATTGACTCTAAGCACCCGCGAATGCGACGGCCCCTGCTGCAATTTTAAAGCAGAAAGTCAAGAATCGGTGTTCTTCGTTTCGTTTAGTGTTGTTGGCTTCTCTTACCTTTCCTTCACTCCGGCAGCATATGTTTTGCTCTTTTTCGTCCTCTTTCACTCGATCCTACTAGGTGATTAGAAACCTAACACCACGAAATATTTATACTGTCACATCACCAGAGGCCCATTACGACCGGCTGTAATAGTCGGACTCAGAGGAACTTGAAATATCGGATCCGAAGAATATTACATAATGTCCAAAAATTACAGCGCTAACCAAGTGACTGCTGTACATCACACTAAACATGTATTTGCAGCACGAACATGCTTTCTTTCCACACCGCTTGCAGCAGTACGGCCCTGCGAAAGAAATTGCTCAGGTAAGAACAAGTAGTGTTAGTTGAAATTATTTTGAGAATGTCATGACAAAGTTATTAATTTATAGATCCAGTCCACTCTGTTATAAAGTAACGTTTTACGCATGTAGTTGTCCATTGCGTCCACCAGTCCAAGGCGACCATCTTTGTCGGCCCCTTGAGTGGTCGCTTTAGCTAGGTTTGACTGTACTAGGTATACATATATGCGAGTTGCAGCGAAACTTCAGTAATTCCGCTAAAGTGCTTACATGCTTTTATGAAGCGAAACGTTTTATTGGTCTCATCAAAGGCAGTAGCAGACTGTACATTTATTTATTGGATGCATTGATTTGTTAACCACTGAAACCAACCAGCCATTCGCAACAGACTAATAAATAGACTAGACCTGGACAAAACCATGACTTCCTGGTGAGCGACTTCTTGACTTGGAGTATGCAGACGATATTGCTCTAATCTGTGACACCTCCCAAACATGCCAAGCAGCACTGGACCGATTAGCACTGGCTGTCTATCGTTTTAGGCTATGCTTGGCTCCATCGAAATGCAAGATTGGCAGGGACCCACCCATGCGCTAATGCTTGGTGGTGATCAGCTAGAAATCGTCCATAAATTCAAGTACCTGGGCGGTTATATTAGCGCCCCTGGGATCGAAGATGAGGTTACGAACCGTATAGCAAAAGCCCGAGGTGCTTTTCCCAATATCCACCACCTATGGCGCAGACGCGACATCACTCTCGCCCTGAAGGGCAGAGTTTATAATGCAGCCGTCCGTTCAACTCTCCTATACGTTTTTATGAAACCTGGCCCATCCGGTCTGCAGACGTAAAGAGGCTCGTCATATTCGAGCATCGCTGCCTTCACAGCTTAGATCATGTCTGGTTGGAGCACCGCGTGAGCAATGAGCGTGTTCGGCGTGGCGCATTTGGAACAGGAAGAGCGAATGAATCGCTCAGTACCATTATATCACGCACCAAGCTCCGATGACTGGGCCACTTGTTGCGCATGCCAGCACACCGACTCCCGCGACGAGCATTGTTTGCGCGTCGAGAGTGCGGTTGGAAGAGGAGGGGAGGCTAAGAGGTGAATTGGTCGAGAAGAATGAAAACCCTCATTTCGAAACTGACGTTGGTTGGTGCATCCCGACTGCCTGGCTTGGGTCATAATGACGAGGAACACGTCTACTTAGACACAGTTGGTACTATGGCGAAGAGTCGGCCGCAACGGCGTTTGGAGCTTTTCTGTCCATCCCCTCCATTTAGGTTCATCTTGCAATCCTTATCCCATACAAAACGCATAAGGTAATATTTAACATATATGTTTTACAGTGTACTTTTTAGCCTCTCATCTTTTTGTATTGCGGCACATTTGCTGAGGTGTGTTTCTTACTCTCAGCTAACGTGTACTGGTGAAACAAAACCATGGAAACCATAAGAAGAATACAGTGCTGGATGGCCGGGATGGACAGTCCCTAACCTCCAGCACTGAATGTGCGTCCGCGTTGGCGACGCATTTCGCTTCTGTATTTGTGAATGACCAGGTGTCTGTACCGAGTTCGAGGTGTATCGCTTTTACCGAACTCGACAGTCTGCATTGCGGCGTTGAAGAGGTATGTCAATTACTCGCCAACCTTGACGGCACTATCCCTGATAGGCTTCACCCACTGGTTCTCAAGCCACTTTCGACCATCATCTCTCCTGTCGTGACTGACCTTTTCAACAGGTCGCTGTCTGAAGGTTCGTTGCCGATTGACTGGAAATGTTCGGTGGTGAAGCCTATTCCGAAAGGCGGCGACCATAGCAAAGTAGACAACTACAGGCCAATTTGTCTGACGCCTGTTTGGGCAAAGGTTGCTGAGAAAATCGTGAAGAAGGGATTGCCGCAGTTGCTACAGTCAAACGAGGTCCTGAGGCCCACACAGTACAGTTTTATGCAAGGTCGCTCATTCATTACAAACTTGCTTGTGACGAGGCATGAGTGATTGAAGGCAATAAGCAAGGGGAAGTCTGTTGAAGAGATATTCATCGATTTCGGTAAAGCGTTCGACATGGTAATCCATGAGGTTCTCCTTCACAAACTCAGAGTGTGTGGTGTCGGTGGCTCACTGCACTGGTGGATCCGCGACTTTTTTGTTAGACGAAAGTGGAGGATACAGGTCGGCGACCATCTAACTGACTGGTACCCCTCTACAAGTGGCGTGCCACAAGGCACTGTGCTGGGGCCCACTCTGTTCCTGGTCCATATCAACGATCTACCGCAGCTTTCTCCGGTCGCCGTGTGCCTTGTTTGCGGACGAAATGAAGATCTGGAGAGAAATTGACGCTCCCGACGACTGTGGCCTACTTCAGCAAGACCTCAACCGCCTATCCACATGGTCTGCAGCAGTTCGTCTCCCGATCAACCTAGCCAAGTCTGTATTTATAAGCCTGGGGAAGGGTACTGATGACCGAACCTACACCCTTGACGGCCAACCGCTATATCCCACACCCTCCGTCAAGGACCTAGATGTACTCTCGCGCTACAATTTGAAGTCCGTGGACAACCCGAACACGCTATATCGTAACGGACTGCGCATGCTTTGGGCGCTCAAACGTAGCTTCGGCACATGGACTGAAGAGGTTGCCACTCGCCTCTTCTCTTTCATCATTAGACCAATGCTTGAGTACGGTTCGCCTGCCTACTTTCCGATTACCCGAGGCGAGGCACAGAAGATCGAACGGGTCCAACACGTTGTTACCAGGCTCATCCCGAGTTTACGTGACTTGGGGTATGAAGACGGGTGCGAGAAACTAGGACTCTACATCTTGTCCTACCATCGGGTGCGAGTCGACCTCATTATGACCTACCGTATTCTAAATCTCGGTGAATTCCCCATGCCGAGGCCAATGCTGCACTTACGAGGGCCATGTAGCACACGCGAACACAGATAGAAACTTGTCATGCCGGATGTGAAGTGTGTACCCCACCCACTGTACTTCCAACGGAGAGTGGTAAATATTTGGAAGAGTTTTCCTGAACAAGTGATGGAGGCAACATCTGTGCAGCAGTACAAAACGTTGTTAGATTTATATTTTACCACTATTCGATTCAGAGAACGATTGCATAATTACGATGACATGTCACCATTGTGAGCCCTGCAATACCGTGAGTCAGATATTTTAAATGTTACATGAGAACGATAACAATATTCACGGTTGACAATTTTTATAAGGTTTTTCACCATATTTCGAAAGAGTTGTACAGAATTCATTTCTACTTGCTTTATAATACAGTATTCATGGCGCATTAACTGTTAGTAAGCGACACACTACAGCTATTGTGCCGTAAGAAGAACGGAATTGTTTCCGTTATTTTTTCACACGCCATTTTTATTCTCGTTTTCAATTGTTAAACATTAGACATTTGAGTCTATACAAGTATGTACAGAAAGCTTCCACTGATTTAGACTACGTGCCATATCTTGCAATGCTTCTAGCCATCGGCAGTCTTCATCCTTTGGCCTCCAATCAGGCAGGCGTGTGGATCCAACGGCAGTAAGACGTGAAGTCAACGATTTCCTATGCTGACGCCAAATGGACGGCTGACCACCAAGCGATCTCTTCCAGCCAAGCCCTACACGAACGAAAACGGCGCAGTAAGGCAAATGTACAGCTGACATACGCAAAATGTGACCAAGCCACCTTGGCTGACGCAGCAAAACCAGCTTGTTGAGATGCATACCCGCATCCCCTAGGGCACGACAACGAACTTCACCATTGGAAATACGCTGCTGCCACCACACACGTGCAAGCCTTCTCAAGCATCCATTGTCAAAAGCCGAAAGCCGGCACACGTCATCCACACGAACTGGCCAAGACTCACTTCCATATAGCAACACCACCCGAACGGTGTACTTTACACGCGCCCCTTTACCAATAGGGAAACATACCGACGATGGCACAAGTACTTCAGGCTGACGAACGCTGACCGAGCTTTGGTGATGCGGAGAGAAACTTCCTTCTCATTAGAGCAACCAGCAGACACGTAGGTGCCAGGGTAGACAAAGCGATCCACTTGTTCAAGCTGTGTACCATCAAGAGTGAGCGCGGGGACGGGCAAGTGCCAATCCTGGAGCAGAATCTTACACCTCGGTGGGGCGAACACAGACCGAACTCAGATGCCTCAATCACCAAACGGTTTAGAATGGTTTGTATGCTCTGCGAGTCGTCACCAAGTAAGGCGATGTTATCGGCATAAGCTAAGTCAGTCGCACGCTTGTCCGTCAGTAGTTGTAGTCCAAAAGTTTGACAATCTTCCAAAGCTCTCGACAGGACGTTTTCAATCGCGAAATGGAAGAGAAAAGGGGACAAAGAGCAGCCCTGTCGTACACCGCTATTAACAGCAAATGACAATGAAAGCTTGCCATAGACCCTCACTCTGCTGGAGATTTGGAGGTAGAATGCGCGTAGGATGGTTGTATACTTTTCCAAGACCCCGTTCCCTAGCAAGCAATAACACAGCGCAGATAAACGGAATCAAATGCAGCATGGATGTCTAAGAAAGCTACGATGATAGGCCTTCGGTAGAGGTGTCGGTGTTCGAGTATTTGGCGGAGCGTGGATATTTGATCCACGCACCCACGGCCGGGACGGAATCCAGCCTGTTCTTCCCGGTACTGCGATTTACGAAATGGGAAAGTTTACGGAGTAGAATGGACGCGAAAAGCTTGGAAGCAGTCAAAATGAGACTAATCCCCCGGTTATTGGTGCATGAATTGCGATTATCCTTTTTATAAATCGGGACAATAACTGACTCGCCTCAGAAAGAAGGAACCATTTTTTCATGTCAAATTTTGAAGAACAACGAGGTTAACTGGCTGATGATAACTGCGCCTGCATACTTGAACAGCTCCGGAGAAAGTCCGTCTGAGCCGGCAGCCTTAAATCGTCTAAGGTATCGAATCGCAAGAGCAACTTCCGCTTCACTGGGTGAATCAAATGTAATGAGCCAGGACGATCGCCTTCATT